GTGTGTGTGTGTGTGTGTGTGTGTGTGTGTGTGTGTGTGTGTGTGTGTGTGTGTGTGTGTGTGTGTGTGTGTGTGTGTGTGTGTGTGTGTGTGTTTGTGTGTGCGTCGCGCGTGTGTGAGGGAGAGAGCGCGCATGCACGCGAGACTGAGCTTGAGAGAGAAAGAATTGCTAGAGAAGGGCGAGGTACAAAGCTATATACCTGCACTCTCCTGAGGTCACCTCGCAAGTTCGACTCTGCTCGCCACAACCGCAGCGTTTTCTTGCAAATGGATTTGTTGGGATGCAGCCTGAGTAGGATCCCCACACGCTACACTCACATGTATCGCTAGACGCCGTGATAGACGTCGTAGTAGTCGCAGCCGTCCCGTCTGAACAGGCGTCGCACGTAACTACAAAATTGTTCAATTTTAACGATCGTATACGTTCGCAATTTTCTGTAGTAAGAACATTCGAAGTCGAAGAACATTCTGACTTTCCGTAAACACGGAGAATTGGCTATCCTGTCATGGAAGAGAAGGCTTATTGGTAGGCGACTTTCAACAGATGCTTAACGACTCTAGTCACTGCTAGCTGGTTACGATATGTGCATTCTTATTTGCGGCCATGTTTCACACGCCTTTTCGCATTACTACCCCCTTCCAATTAATGCTCCCATTACGACGAAGGGAGGCCGGGAATGGATATAGGTTCGTATCGTATTCATCCCGAATGAAGTAGCTGTTGTTGCTGATGCAACTGCTGTATCAATTATAAGTTCAAATTATTCAGTTATTATAATTATTATTATTATAATTAATTATAATAATGATTATAATAAGTTATTATTATAAGTAATTATAATTATAAGTTTAAATTATAATATTAAATTATAAGTAAAAATAAACTCGGACAACGCCGGGTCATAACCATGTATATGTAATCGGTAGGAAAACACCTCCAAGTTAACAGACCTGTAGCCTTTAGAGTGAATGACGCGTCGTAACCGAAATGTGTCTCGGCTACCACGAGCACTTCGTTCGTATCCGACGTAAGAAGGGGAATGTTACGAACGGAAAACCCGCTAAACCTGTAAGAGAGCATACGACAACCATTGTTCATGATACTTGGTTCCGTCTAACCGGTCGGTATACTTTTGTAATGTGTAATAACATAAACGATGAACAATATTATATGTAGTGTGTGTGTGTGTGTGTGTGTGTGTGTGTGTGTGTGTGTGTGTGTGTGTGTGTGTGTGCATGTCAGTCAACACATTTATCTGGCGCGTTTCCGCCACTGTCATGTGTTTTTCGCACTGTCAGTGTGCGTTACAGCCCACTATGCCTGACAGCCCAGCCTATGCGTGAATCTATGTATATATCGTAGACTTCATATCTAGCACGGATACGGAGGAGGTGAGGTGTAACGCGAACGTGCAGTTATTTGCAAAACATCGCCGGTGGTTGACCGCGCGTGGGTGTAATCATGAACTTAGTAACATAGTCGCGTATGTGTTACTATACTATCAGGAGTAAGATAATATAGGATATATAGGATATATAATAGGATAATAATATATAATAGGATATATAGGATAATATAGGATATATAATATATCCTATATTATCTTACTCCTGATACTATGTGCACTCTTTCTGTTAATGATTTCATAGACCAGTAGATGGCGCCCATTAAGCTCAGAGAACAAAATGTACAAAAATAATTAAATTAAACAAAACGTTTCTCAGAATGACATATGTATGCCGTTAACGTGAAGGAATTTGAGGGGCCGGGCGCCGTGGTAGTCAGTGGTGCTCATGTTATGATGAGACATTATTAATACAGACTAACTTTATTTTCATGTCAAGAATGTTTGAATGATCAACATATTAGTGCCGACTCCTAAATATCTGCGCAACTATGCCAGCTATTACGCAGTTACTTCTATGCATCACTCGCATGTTTTTGAACCTCACACCCCCTTACAAACGCTTCGTATATTAGGGTCCTATAGTTACACATGCCCAGTTCGACCACTATACCTATACGTAATAAAGAATACATTAGGTGTGCTGTCGCGTTTGAATACTTCACATTGTTTTATTGTTATTTAGATTTTTTGTTTGGTGTACTATATATAAAGGATAAATTGTAGAAACAGGAAAGGGAAAGGACAGGATGCTAGTTCTATTTCATCGTGGTAATCTGGAACACTGTTTTTGTTTGCTCGTTGCTCCTTCGTGAGTAGATCTGTGTGGAGCGGCTCGGCTATCTCTTGTATTTATTGAGATATGTGACCACATGTTTCGACCTCGGACTATATCAACTCTCTATCGGATGCCTGAGAGACAATATGGTAATCTGTGAAGAGGCAATCTGTGATTAACCGCCGATGAAATTACTGCTGCCTTTCATCTATAGATTTTGACTAGACTGATATTATATATATACATATATATATATATATATATATATATATATATATATATATATATATGTATCCGTATATACACATATAATATTGTTCATCGTTTATGTTATTACACATTACAAAAGTATACCGACCGGTTAGACGGAACCAAGTATCATGAACAATGGTTGTCGTATGCTCTCTTACAGGTTTAGCGGGTTTTCCGTTCGTAACATTCCCCTTCTTACGTCGGATACGAACGAAGTGCTCGTGGTAGCC